TCATGTGACCCCTCACTCTGCCTTCTCCCACCCCTGTTCACCCTGGTGTTCTGTCTGGGCAAGGACCCTGGATTCTAAGAAGGCACAGAGTAGCCTTGAAACCCTGGCTCATGAGGCTGTCCAACGTGCTGAAACGATGCTGTTTCCACTTGTAAGCACTCCCACTGGAATGACTAGCTCCCACACCACTGTTTCCAATGGGCAGGGAATTTCATTCCCATTTTATAGATGAGAAATAGAAGCCCAGAAAGTTAGCAGAGCTAAAGCTACAAACTCATTTCTTGTTTTCTGGTCCAAGGCTCTTTGCCCCCACTGGGCAGCCACAGTGCAATTTACCAATGCATACCCCAAGTGATTCTATCACTGCTGCCAAGCGAACATGTAAAATGCCCAGGCCCTCTTCCCACCCCCATCTCTATCTCCATTTCCCCAAATGTTGAGAGGCTTGTCCACTCCCACAGTGCCTCCTGAGACCGACCATTCAGGGTGACCCACAGGTGCCTGGGTGGACCTGCCTAGAACAGCAGTTGTGCACGTTCATGGCTCTGATCCATCGGGTATCCCTGGCTACAGCTCATCCCAACACCCTCCTACTGGTATGCTGGGCATGGGGGAAGCAACGTTCCCCCAACTACTCTCATAGCTTACCAGTAATTGCTACTACTTCACCAAGTTTCTGTCGTCTTTCAGGCACTGGCTTTGAACTTTTCATAAAATGTTCCTAATTCTCACAAGGAAAGTCTTGTTTTAACAGATGAGGAAGTTCAATGATAGGCAGGATAAGTGGCTTGCCAGTAGTCAGTGTGGGGATTGGAGAGCTAGGATTTGAACTTAGATTTGTCTGGTTCCATGGTGACCCTTCAATGAAAGCTCATCAACTAACATGAGAGTTCAGTGTCTCCCACCACTGCTGACTTTGTGATCCCAGGCAAGTTGCTAATCCTGTTTGAACTCCAGCTTGTCATTTGCAAATGGAGGAAAGTGAAAGTGCATCTCCACAGGGTCCTTGTGAGGCATAAGTCAGATGAAGCATGCAGCCAGGATTCAGTGAGTGTTCGCTGCTAGTGTGAATGTGAGTACTACTGGAACACAGGTTCCTGGATGGGTGGATGGGGGTCTGATTAGTCTTTCCACATCCCCACCTGCCCCCTAAGTCCTAGCAGAGGAAACATCCAGTGTCCTGGGAAGGAAGTGGAAGTGTGTGAAGGCCAGTCCACAGCCCCAAGCAGGGCCTGCTTCTGCCTCATGTCCCTGTGCTCTCAGGGGTGGGGACCACCTGGCTAGGGCAGGCATGTCACTGAGCTCACATGTGTGGTTCTGCACTACTTCATCAGCACTCCTCATGTTTATGTTGAGCCCGAGATCATTCTCAGCCCCCAGAGTCTGCTTTCATAAAGCTGTCCCAATATCCTCCCTAAAGACCCTGGGCAGGGAGAGCTGGGGTGAGAGGGGACAGCTAAGGATGCGGTTTCACATCCACTGTCATGGGGGCTACTCACATCCAATAGCAGGCAAAACTGGTTTACTCCTCCCATCGTTCAGATAGGGAAATGGAGGCCCAGTAAGGTGAAGTGACATGTCCAAGATTACTGAGCCTAGAATGAAGGTTTCCAAACACCCAGAAAAGGGCTCCTTTAATTAGTCCTTAACTGATTACTCATCCTAAAATCATTCAAGGATAAAGGCAGTGAACATACATTCACAAACCAAGCAACCAACAAAGCCATTGCTAATTATTACTGACTGCGGGACGTCGTGAGGCGAGTTTCTGCTGAGTCTGCTCTGCTGATTGCCCCTACTTTGACCAGAACTGGCTAATTGTGGGAAGTTGCATTCACTCAGAAGCTGGAGTGAGGGCAAGAGGAACGGCTTCCCCCTCAGGGCTTGATGCAGGCAGGAGTGAGTCATGCTGGTTGAGAACAATGAACTGTTCTGTAATCACCTCCTACAGCCCCTGCCCAATATCCAACAGAGCCCCAGAGGAGCCTTTCCAGGAATAATGAGGCTGGGTGGGGGGAGATGGATGGGAATTCGCTGGGTCTCACCAGGGCAGCTTGACTCACAATCTGTCTTAGCCCTGAGCCCCAGGCAGGGAGACTCCACAGTGAGATGACTCTGGCATGCACCTGTGCCCCAAAGTTCAAGGAGAGGAAGTCATTTGCATCTCAGGTGCAAGGAAGAGAGGCAATGGTCTGGCCTCCAGACTGTTGGAGCACTGAGGACAATGAGCAAACAGATGCCAGTCTCCTAGGCCTTTCTGGGGCCCCGATTTTCCCTTGTTCTGAGGAGCAGTGAGTAGGCAGGCAACTGGGGATAAAGAAGGGGGAATAGAGAGGCAAGACCCCTAGCAGACACACAGACAATGCGTATGACCAGACCGTACAACCCTCAGTGAACTTCCCACTCCTATGTATGCACATACCTTCTTGCTCCTACTTTTCCCCAGAACAGTGTTTCCTGACTTGATCCATGGAGTCCATACAGTAGACCATCTTAGAAGTTAATAGGTTCTTCTCTCTCCCTGTATACTCCACATCCACAGATGCCCAAAGTCCTAGAGCTATGCTAGAAGCCAAGCTGGGACACGGGTCACCCATGAGCAGTCTGGTGCAGTCACCTTCAGTCACCTGACCACTTGGCTATGTGAGATTTTTAATCCCAAACAATTATTCTCTCCTACCCAAATTCAAAACCCAGGGCACCTCCATTTTACTGTGGAAATTACAGCAAAAAATTTACAGTAACAAAGGTAAGTTAAAGAGAAAACCAGACTTCCTTCTCTTTCAAAGATGCTGAAGAGTTCATTTTCACCCAGTGTTATCTGCACTGGGGAAGAAGAAGGGAGATCTTAACTTTTCTTTTTTCTTTTCTTTTTTTTTAATCTTAGTAATGTGTTTTTACTTAAACAAATATATTTAGGCCAGAAGTAGTGGCTCATGCCCATAATCTCAGCGCTTTGGGAGGCCAAGGTAGGCAGATCACTTGAGGCCAGGAGTTCAAGATCAGCATGGCCAACATGGCAAAACCCTGTCTCTACTAAAAATACAAAAATTAGCTAGGCGTGGTGGCACATGCCTGTATTCCCAGTTGCTCAGGGGGCTAAGACACAAGAATTGCTTGAACCCAGGAGGCAGAGGTTGCAGTGAGCCAAGATTGTGCCACTGCACTCCACTCTGGGCGACAAAGTGAGACTCTTTCTTTAAAAAAAAAAAAAAAGAAGAAGAAGAAAATATATATATACACACACACTTTAAATATATATTTATATATATATAAAACATGTAATCAATATAACAAAATTATGGAGATATTTTATATTCACCTTTTCATACTAAGCCTTGGAAATCCAATGTGTATTTTCCACTTCACATCTCAATTCAGAACTAGCCACATTTCAATTTGAACAGTGTTTTGTTCTGGGCCTTGCTCTGCAGACCAAGGCAACTTGGCTTGAAAAGCCATTGTCACCAAGCAAACCCTCATTTGATCTACAAGAATTCTTTGTGGATCAGTGGATCTCCATCTTAGCAGCACATTGGCCTCAGCCAGACCACGCCTAGACCAAATACATCAGAATCTCTGGGAGTGGGTCCCAGGCATTGATGTTTATAAAGCTTTCCTAGAGATTTCAGCGTGCAGCCCAAGTTGAGACCCATGGCTACATATCAGCATCCTACTCAAAGTGAGGAGCTGACCAGCATTATTGGTATCACCTGGGAGCTTGTTAGAAATGCAGAACCTCAGGCCCCATGCCGGACCTACTGAATCAGAACCTGCAAGTGAACAAGGACCATATGTGCTTAGAACATTTACTACTGTCTGAGAGGCCTGCTAGAATGCACACTCTCTATATCCCATCTTGACACCTGATAGCAACCTTGCAAGGCAGGTGTTCTATTTCACAGGTGAGGAAACAGAACGGAAGAGAGGTTGAGTCACTCATCCAAGGTCACATAATTGGTGAGTAGGAGAGCCAGGGTGCAACCCAGGTCTGGTTCCAAAGGCCACACTCTTTTAACTGCACAATTGTACCGCTTCCTACAGCACAATTAAACATATGGCCACAGAGAACCCCTGAGTGTTTGACTCCTTGAGCCTGTTGAACATGCCCTGCCTTTGAACAGGATTCCACTTCCAATGTCAAGTTCCCCAAAACAAACCTCATAAAGACCAGCATAATTCATGAGAAGATACAAATTGTAAACAAACATAGGGAAGATGTTCACTCTCCCTCATAATCAGAGAAATGCAAATTAGAACAACATTGAGGAACCATTTTCTACCTATATAATTAGCAAAAATTTATAAAATTTTAGCAAAGTTATTCTGAAATAGGTACATTCATACACAATTTGTGGCGGTGTAGATTTATAGAACTCTTGAGAGAAGTCATATGGCAACATCCATCAAGAGCTGTAAATATATTATGCCCACTGACCCTGGGAATTCACCCTAAGGAAATAATTCATTGGGGGTGGGCGGGGGAAATGCTATTTGTATGAAGATGCTCACCGCAACATTCGCTGTGAACACTGGAAACAACTTAATATTCAGCAGTAAGAAAATGGCTGAGGAAACTGGGGGTATATCTACTCCTGCAGTGTTATGCAGCCATTTAAAACCATAATTAAGAAGCCCAAGCAGCAACATAGCAATGTGGGTGAAAGAAAGCAGAATGCAAAACTGTCTCTGTGCATTGTGGTTTTCTGATGTAAAAATATTGTGTGCATAAGGATATGGACAGGGAGGAGCTGGGCACAAAGGAAGGCAACCTTCAGAGTTGGGGGTGATGGAAAGACCCCCTCCTCCTATTATTTTTAGTATTACAAACCCTGGCCCTTTGAGAACAGCCTCAGGGGCTCTCCCCTCATGGAGTCTATCTCTGAGGCAGACACAAGGAGGCAGCTGGGTGCAAAGCCACATTCCTGATTGCACCAGCAGGTGAGGGGAGCTGGCCCAGTGGAGGTCAGGAAGGCCACGGGAGGCCCCTCCCATCTTACCATGAAGCCCGGGGCACAAGTGCAGCCCCCGGTGATGCTGTGGCAGTCGGCGCCATTCTGACAGGTGCAAGTCTGCTGGCAGCCATCGCCATAGTAGCCAGCAGGGCAGGATTCATTGCAGTGGCGGCCAGACCAGCCTGGCTGGCAGGCACAAGCTCCGGTTACTGGGTGGCAGCTGCACAGATAAGAGAAGGGTGAGAAGACAGTTCGTTCTAGGAAGCAGCCTTGTGCCCGCCCTCTGCCCACCCCAAGCCTGGCTTGCCCAGGGTAGCGGGATCAAAGGACCTCTGGGATTAAAACACTCAATGCCTTTTCTGTTTATCAGAGGATGCCAAGGCCACATGATCTTATTACCACCCAGAAGCTGAGGCTCAGGATGATTATATAACTACCCTGAAGTCAACAGCAAGGAGAAGACAAGAGCAGGATTAGAACACAGGGCTTCTGACTCCCACACAAGTCTTCTTTATAATTCAGACACACGGAAACCAAAAGAGAGAGTGGCCTTTTAGTCCCTTGGCTTATAGACTATGCGGTCCAAGGCTTCATCCATCCCTCACCCAAGACGAATGCCTGGTGTGGGAACAGGACGAGAAGGAAGCAGTGATACGCCAGTGGCTCTCAATATTGTAGGTGTTCAATGAATGTTGGGCTGAGTGAAAACAAGACTTTGGGCCAGACGTGACTCCTCTCTCTGGCAATGTCTGTCCTGGACAGAGCAACCCCAACCTATGCTTTGCCAGGCTCTTTAACAGTGAGCAAGCTCTTCTCCATCTCCTGTTTAGGCTAGAGAAAGGACCATTCGGCTAGAGGCAGGGGATCCCTGGCATGACCTCCAGAGAGTCGGGCAACCTCTAGCTGGCAGCCGTCTGATCCAACAGCTGATGTCCATTCATGGTCAGCGGGATGCCGGTTGTAACCATGTGCTGCTCAGAACTCCTGCAGGAACATAATTGACCTATGGCCCCAGTGCTGAGTCTGAAATCCAGAGGCCACATTTCCCCCGGGCCACTCCCAGCTGGAGCACAGCAGGGACGCTAGGGTGGGCACACTCTTGGGAGAGCTGGCACTCCTCTGATGGGTACCTTGGCTTTAAGATGCCCCATCCTGGCAAACTTTCTTAGAACCATGCTGTGAGTTAAGACTCTTTCTCCCAACTTTCCTTCCTTCCTTCCTTCCTCACATGTGATCTGTCAGCTCTCCCAGCCTCCCCAGCTCCCTCCCCACTTTCCCTCACAGATGCTTCCCCTAGTAAACCTCTTGCTCTTGGTATCTGCTTCTGGAGGGGCTCAGACTAACACACCAAAGAAGTGCTGGGTGGTAGAGACAAGCCTTTTAGATTCCTTGTGGCATTTGCCTCCCTGCTCTGGAGCCCAGCTCCGGGGATAAGGTCAAGAGAAGCATGCCCTGGGCTGGCAGGGGGAACCCGGGGCAAGTCTTGGTTCTGCTAACTTCCATGGGGCCTTGGCGCCTTGCCCCGCTGGACATTGATGGATCCCCAACACCTGGCTCATATTCACTGCCCTGGTGAATATTTGGAAATGAATACAGCTTCCTCTAAATACAATTATCTTCCATTGATTCTTTCTTCGTTTCTGCTGATTTATCATCTGTCTTTTCCACTAGGTTGCAGCTCTATGGGGGACAGCCGTTTGTCTTGTTTCCTTCTCAGGGCCCAGCAGAGTCCCTGGCACACTGGAGGTGCTTAATATATATTTAGAAAATTAATTAATGAGCAAACTAATTGTGTGAAGCCTAGCCAAGCTGTTTCTCTTCTAGGGACCCTGGTTTTCTCACAGAAAATGAGGGGGTGGACAGGAACAGGCAATTCTTGAATAATAAGTGCAAGTAGCTAGTAATCATTTCAGAAAAGTATTTAGTCTCATTATTCATCAAGTCTAAACAACAACTGGACACCACTTTTCCTCCATCAAAACAGTGACTATGCTTTAAAATGCTGGTAAAGGTTTCAAAACAATCTGAGATTACATATCAGAAGACTTAAAAGTATTCAGACTCTGGTCTTGTAATTCCATTTCTAAGACTCTATCCTAAGGAAATAATCATAGTTGTGGAGAAAGATTTATGCACGGAGATGTTCCCTGAAGCATTATTTATAACAGTGGAAAATGGAAGCAATTTAAATAATAATAAATAATATGTGGCCAGGCTATTGAGGCACCAGGAAATTTATACATATATTTCTAATCTTCAAATAAACCTGTGAATTGGGCATTTGAGCCTGTATTTCACAGATGGCATTTAGAGGTGATGTGACTTGCCCAAGGTCACATAGCTAAGACAGTGAGTGGCAGAGCTGGGATTCAAACCCAGGTCTGTCTGGCCACATTTTGTCCACTGCCTCATGCCACCTCTCACCACAGGGTATTGGTTAAATGAATTATAACATCCATGTGAAGGAATGCTAAGAGATGTATTCAATTGTTTTTCAAAATGTTTAATGATACAAGGTTAAGTGAAATAAGCACTTCGTATACAAAGCCATTTCTATCAATGCTGCATCTGTTACCTAAATCAAATCTTTCAACTATGACAATATATCAAATCTAAAATATGAAAATGATACAGACATCGACAGATGACCACAAAATGGCTTTTGTGCTTATCTCTGGATTGAGAAACTGATTCTAAGTTTTTTCTTTAAATGTCTACGTATTCCCTAACTTACCAAAATTGAGCATTTATTCTATTTATAAACAGATGTAAAGCAATAAAAATTGTATCTAACAAAGAGGAATGGGTGTAAATGATGAGTGTTCGAAGACTTTCTGACCTTTACAGAGAAAAATTCCTCCCTGAGCCCCAAGGCACTGGAAGGGGAGACAGCAGCCTGCATGGGTACCGTGGGGAAGTTGTGCTCCTTGGTGGCCCTGCTGCTCTGCAGATGGTTTTGGAGCACTCTTCTCTTTAGGTTGCATCTTTCCAAGAGCTTCCTTTGAGGTTTAGGGTTAGTGTAGAGAGACTGGCTCAGTTACGGTTGTGGAGACTGATGTGCTTGAATCTAGGAATGGCCTGGCAGGTCTTGGCTGCAACCATCAGCTCTGCTGAGCACTGGAGACTCTGAAAGGTCTCAGGCACCTTTCTGCTTTTTCCATCAATAGATCCTTCTGCTGTCTCTGCCTAGCAAATGGTCACGCTGGAGTTCATCCATTACACGCTCTTACTTTGGTGAGGGCACCACCTTGTGAAAAGCATGCTCCATACCCATCGAGCTAGCAAATGCTGACCTAAGTACTCTGCATTTCCTGCTTTTGATCTCTGCTGCTGTCACTTTGGCTGCTCAGAGATACATTAGGCACTAATTTTACTCTACTCTGAGAACCAGAAGGCTCAAAACCAAATCTAAAATCATTCCTTTTTTTCCATATCCCTACAATATCCCATTTCTAGAAATGGGGTGTCTACTTTCTTAATTTGATTACTCGTCTTATAGGAACTCCAAACATCCCTTTGAAAAGAGGATGGAGAGTGACAGCTGACTGATCATGACGGAGAGCTGCGACCACCATGCTTGGAACCTCTGTCCCTCAGCAGAGTGACTTGCACAGCCCCTCTCCCAGGCATCCCTTCTTCCCGGTGGTGGTCCCCATTCTCTTGAGTCACATGGCAGGCCAGGGGCTGCTGTTTTTGGCTCAGGCAGAAGTTACAGTCACTGGTGTTTAGCCTGGTTCCATTCTCTCTGGTTTTTTCTTTTCTCTCATTTCCCCCAGACATAGATTAATCACAAGTTAATAGGAACCGAAAGCTGAACAATACAGGAATCCTTCCAGAGTGGATTTTTCTGCCTTTCTTTCAGCTGCTATGAGATTTCTATCAATGCTGCATCTGTTGGCTGAATCAAATCTTTCAAAGGCAATACACGATCATGGCTGCTGGAATTAGTCTATGACAATCCAATTATGGAGGGGACATTTAAGAGCCCATACACACAGGTGCTTTCTTTCTCAAGGTTATTCCTGTATGAAGGAGGATGGTTTCTTTTTGTGTGCTACAAAGAGTTGATAACGGGAATGAAGAGTTGGAGAATCTTACCAGCCACTTCTTCCTTCCCAGGGCATGGATTCAACCTCTGTGCAGCAGCCTTGCTGGAAGGGCATAGACCAGAGAGAGGCTGGAGCTGGGTGGATAGCGCTTTCTGTGGCTGGGGGCTGGGATTACTTTGTCTCCCTAGGAAAGATGCTCAAGACCTTGCACGCTGTTGTGGTGGGGGCTTTGTTGTAAGTTCTGCAGAAGGCAGGGAGCATTGAGGCTAGGCTTCTAGGGACCCCACGTTCCTTCTCTCAGGGAGTTGGGTGGAAGCTTCACTTTCAAAGACCACAGGAGAACATTTCCCCCCACTGGGTTGATGAAAGGTGATGGACAGATTGGGAAATTTATGCATAGAGAGGAGAAGGACATATATCTTATGTGCATATATCAAGTACCCTTATTACGGACACTTGCTTAGACAGAGGTAGGTTTGAGGGCAGGACTCAGAAGTCCCAATCCCCACTCAGTACCTGAACTTTAACTGTCTTAAGATTAGAAGTCACACAGTCATTCCTTGGCTTTTCTTGAATCTCAAGAGAAGACTCTATAATGGGCCAAAAAAGTCTCATGGGAAGAGAGGGGCTTCCCTCTATCCACATAGAGGAAGAGAGCTGTTTTCTGATGTCCGTAAGAACAATCAAGTGCAGCATGAGAGAGTTCATTTAGCCCAGAGGCTCTCAATCTCCGGGAATTTTTGCTGCCCCGCCCCACCCTGAGACATCCGGCAATGTCTGGAAACATTTCTGATTGTCAGAACTGGGCAGTGGAAGAAGGGTGCTACTGGCATCTAGTGGGTAGAGGCCAGGGATGCTGCTCAACATTCTACAAAGCACAGGACAGCCCTCTACAACAAAGAATTCCCCAGCCCAAAATGTTCATGGTGTCAGGGTTGAGAAACCCTAACCTCAAATGAACAAAAACTTTGTGCCAGGGGCTCAGTGGGCCAGTGTACCAAGAGAAAGGGGGAAATATGTTTTTTTGAAAAAATGGGGTTGACTTCAGCTAATGGGTAGAACCTCCTAGAGGGATGAGCTGTTTAAGATGAGTTCAGGGATTCCTCTTACTGAAGGCCTACTCTGTGCAGGCACTGTGCAATGCTGAGGCTAGAGGTCACAGGAATGTACGAGCCAGGCTGCTGGTGCCCTCAGGGAGCCCACCTCCTCCAGGAGATGGTGATGCAGACTCAGAGGACACCAGGCTGGGGAGTCGACTGGTGGGCACACTCAGAGCCCCCACTCTGAAGAACCGCTACTCCCTCCCAGTCCCTGACACATGATACGTTTTAAAGACAGTAAAGCAAATAATCATCAATATTGGATGGGCTGAGATTAGTGGGAGAGAAGAGGGAGTCCTGTCCGATTAATAATGCATCGAGGACTCCTTCAGAGGAAGGATGAATTATACAGGGCATAGTTGCCCAGGCACAGGAGGAAAACACTAGCTCTTTAATTTGGGGCTTGGTTAGATTTCTGTGGCAGGAGCTCCCTGCATTTGACCCCGGCATCAGCCTTGCTTCCTGTCTTGGAGAGGGTCCTCCCTCAGCTTCCCAACAGCAACAGATCCTGGAATATTAATATTTAGACACATGGAACAGTCTGAGCCAGCTGGCCCAGTCTCCTGACCAGCCATGTGGGACTTCTGTAATTAGCGCCTTGGAGCTCTCGCTCTGCTCTCCAGACCCAGCCCAGATGCCACCTCCTCTAGGAAGCCTTCCCTGACCAGCATCACATAGTCCTGGGTCACAGTTACTTGGGCACATGTTGGAACCTAGCAGGGCCAGCCACATATATTTCACCAATTCTAAGATGTACTTCTCCTCTACATTTTCACATCTCTGATATTGGGTATGTTATACAATCAATGGTGTGTCATGGTTCAGTTGATAGAATTTTCCTAGTAGTAACCCAAATAAAGCTGTGCCTCACTACTGTTATTGTCTTGTATTTGAAGAAATATGGTAGAAGGTGCTTAGTGTTTCCTCCTCACAGCCCAGCCTTGCAGGCGCTCAGTGTTTGCTGAATGAATGACCCAGTGAATGAATGCTCAGGTCATGGACAGTCCAACTCCACTGGCTCTAGCACCCTCTCTGGACAATCTCCTTCCTGGGCGCTCCACCTTTGCCTCACACCACCCCAGCTGCTCCACTCTAGGGAGGGAGGACCTTTTCGTTTGACTCATAGCCCTTGCTGAGATGCCTCTGCTTGCCATGAACGAAGCTCCAGAGTGATTTGTGAAAGATCAAAGCCTGGAAGCGAAGAGCGGCCAAGGCTAAGTCCTGGCTGTCCCAGGGACAGGGCTGCAAAGCAGAGGGATTCTCTGTCTGCCCTGCAAACAGCAGCAGCACCCATGCCCAGGGTGGCTGGTCTTCCCTGGGCTGTCCGTAGGCCTGAGGGAGAAGGGATGCTCCCCTGACCTTCATCACCCAGATAAGAGGCAGCCACGATAAAGGGCTGTGGGGGCATTTATCTGGGGCTGGCAGCCTCAATTTTTACCCAGGGGCAGTGCCTACTGGTGCATGAAGCAGGCAGGGAAGGGAGCTGGGAGTAGTAGCCCAGAGCAGCACTGGCTTCACAGGTTCAGACTCCTTTGGAAGTGGGGGATGGGGGGGCAAATTCTGCCCAGATGTCCCCAAGCCACAAAGGACACAGAGTGCTGAGGGAGGGGCTGGCCCCAAGTCCAGGCCCTGATAAAGGGCTGCCCCTGTTGTTCCTGCTTCTCTACCTTTGCCAGGGCCTGTTGGGACAACCCTCTCTAGGCCCTGGGATGGCCCTACTGATTTTTAAGGTCCTTTCTAGTCCTGACCTTCTGCAGCTCAAGCCTCTACTTCTGCCCTAGTGGCCCTGGCTCTGGTTGGATGCCACACAAGTGGAGGGGAAATATTCTCCAGGACAATGTGCTCAGAGCTTGCGGCACCCGAGCCCTGCCATCCCAGCCCCCAGGGTCATGCAGCTGTGCTCCACCCCACCTCCTTGCTCCCTCCTTGCTCCCATGTGTGGAGTCTCAGACAGGCACATTTGGAAATGCAGGCGGCCAGGTGTGGTGGACAGAGTTGAGTGACCTGGCTCTAGTCCTGACTGTGGCTATGTGGCCTTGGCTTCCCCTTCTTTTCATCAAAGTAGTTCTCAGGGCTCAGTGCTAAGGTCCTAGCCCTTTCCCCACCCTGCCTGGATGTCTGTGCCAGAGGTAGGGGGGCCACATCCTAGCAAGCCTCCTTTCTACCTGAGCACCCCCTGCCCTTGTCCCGAGCTCGCCGGTTCCCAGCTCATACCTGATGGTGTTGTCAGCATCACAGGGGCAGGGCAGGGTGCAGCCTGGGCCATGAAGGCCCTCTGGGCACAGTCGCTCCTGGCAGCGCGGGCCCTTGTAGCCAGGCTCACACTCGCAGGCACCCGTGGTGGGTGAACACTGCCCACCATTGTGGCAGTCACAGCGCTGTGAGCACTGGAAGCCGAAGGTCCCGAAGGGGCACTCCTCTTGGCACCTGTGGGAGAGCAGAGTGTGGCTGAGGCTGTGGGCCGGGATCCCTCACCTGTGCTTCGAGATCCTCCAGGATGTGGTCCTCCTGGTCACCTGGCCCAGGCCTGGTGTGCTCCACCCTGCTCACAGCCTCCTCCCCTTTTCTCTCTCCTCCTCCAGGAAGTATTCCATGGTTTAGTTCACCCCAGTCATTTCTGCCTTTCACGCCAGGTCTCCTCAGTGACCCCAGCAATGAGTTTGTATTACCGTATTTTATTGATTCCAAGCCTAATATTTTTTTTTAAATTAAAGTTGTGGTGAACTATACATGTTACGGTTTAAATGCTTCTCTCAAAATTCTCATTGAAACTTAACATCCAATGCCAAGGTATGAGGAGGTGTGGCCTTTGGGAGGTGATTAGGGCATGAATGGATTAGCGCTCTTATAAAAGGGCTACAGGGAGCCACTGAGGTCCCTTTTTTTTTTTTTTTTTGGCTCTTCTATTCCTTTCACCCTCTGAGGATACAGGCTTCAAGGCACCATTTTGGAAGCAGAGATTGGGGCCCTCATCAGACACCAAACCTGCTGGCCCCTTGATCTTGAACTTCTCAGCCTCCAGAACTGTGAGAATCAATGTCTGTCGTTTATAAATTACTCAGTCTTGGGTATTTTGTTATAGTGGCATGAGCAGACTAAGACAGTGCACAGCATAGAATTGACGATTTTAACTACGTACAGTTCAGTGGCATTAAGCACATTCGCACTGTTGTGCTACATCACCACCACCCATCTCCAGAATGTTTCCATCTTCCCAAACGGAAACTCCGCACCCGTTAAACAAAAAACCATTTAGGTAGGTTTAAAAACACCTTGTTTTTTTTTTTGTTTGTTTGAGACAGAGTCTCACTCTGTCGCCCAGGCTGGAATGGCACGATCTCGCTGCAACCTCTGCCTCCCAGGTTCAAGTGATTCTCCTGCCTCAGCCTCCTGAGTAGCTGGGACTACAGGTGTGCACCGCCACGCCCAGCTAATTTTTGTATTATTAGTAGAGTTGGGGTTTCACCACGTTGGCCAAGATGGTCTCAATCTCTTGACCTCATGATCTGCCTGCCTCGGCCTCCCCAAGTGCTGGGATTACAGGCACGAGCCACCTTGTTTTTCAAATATATTTTTATATCTCTGAAATTAATCAGATAAGGCTTATGTCTGATGACATCATCATAGTTTAATTGCCAGTGTTTTTCCTTCTTTGCAGTGTATGAAATAATGATGCATCTCACAATCAGTGGCACCTTAGATCTGATGAAATGGGGTGATTTTGTTTCTATACAGTGTCTCTGGTTTGTGAGCCTTTTGGGCAGATGTAGAGTCTCTCTTGTCCTACTGGGAGACATGTCCCCTCCCTGACTCTGGATTTTCCCTCGAGTACAGGAAGCATCCTCCTTCATGGGACTATAGAATGCCCTGTGACAAGGGCTATTTTCCCTTCCTTGGAAGAGCGTCCCCTCAAGGTAGGGGCTGAGTCTCTCCCATCAGCCTGTGAGCCCCCAAGGAGGAAGCCTGGGACCCCCCTTTGTGTCCTATGCATGTCTGGGCTAGTACTTGGAGCTGCCAACATGAGGATAATTATTCAACTTCATTTAACTCACAGCCAAGGGTGTGGCTCCTCCGTGGGTGAGTGTGACCTCCACTGCTGACCACCTGGTTTCCTGAATGTGCCTCAACACCCATTACCCCTACCCTGGGCTCTTTCCCAGGGGATGCAAATTTATTGTCACAGCAACTAGATCCGGATAAGTCAAGGGGTAAACCTGGGGGAATAAGGGGTAAAAGAGGGAGACAACTTCTTGCATCCCAAAGACACATGGAAATGGCCTCTGGAGTTCTGAGTTATCTTTGTTCCAGCACTGATTCAACAGTGCGGATAATGGAGAACTAACCTAAAGCTCTGACATCCTCTTCCTTTTTGTAAAATGGGATGATACTCACTAAATCTCATCAGGTTCTGCAAGAATTAAATGGGATAATGTGTGTAACGTAGAAAGGTGCCCAGCCCATAATTGGGGCTCAATTCGAAAAGTTAGTTATTTTCATTAGTACTCATGTTAATATTGTTTTCAACAGTTCTTATAACAGAGCCCATCTGACCTTCTGGCCTTAAATTCAGGCATGAAAAAGCCCAAAGGGAAAAATTCTAAAATGTTGATAGTAGAGTAGATTTGAGGAGTCAGTGTTTTAATTATCATATGTTTCAATTTTCTAGGTTTTCTATATATCTTCTACAGTAATCAGAGGGGAAAAGCAATTTAAAAAAAAATACAGCTCTAACTTCTTTATTATGTATTCTGGAGGATCATGGGAGTGGAAGTATTCTTCCATAGACAGGGCAGAGAGATTCTGTGTCTGGGTGACTCAGTTGTTTACGGTGAGGATGAGTGGCCAGACCCTCGTGGATGTGGCAGGCCCAGCTAGCAAGTATGTGGCGGATGACAGCAGCCAGTGTGTGGGGCACCAGCTTTGGCAACTTGAGACTGGGGTGTCCTTGTCTGTCTTCTGTGCTTTCGTTGCTCTGTGCCCACAATGACAAGGAGAAGAGGACAATGACTGGGGTCTGGCCTTGAGTGCTTCCTTCCTAAGAAGATGCCGCCAGCTGTCTCCTCTCAGAGCCACTGTGTAAAGGAGTGATCTGGTAGAATAATCGGGCAGCAGGGATCATGAGGACAACACCAGCCCTGGGCACCATATACCCAGGGGTTTCTAGCTGCTCAGGCCCCAGAGCCTGTCCCCAGCCCCTGGAGCAGCAGATATTCTCATCACCCTCACTTTGGAGTTAAGGAGGCTGCCATGGGACAAGTGAGGCAATTGCTCCAAGCTCACGCAGCCTGCATGGGGCCAAGATGACCCCAGATTGTCTTTCGGCAAATCTTGTCACATGTCAGTCAATCTGAGGCCTCATGAACGGAAAGAGAGCAGAAAAAAGAGGGAAGAAGAGGTAAAAAGGAAGGGGATGTCTGGAGAAGGAATGGAAAGTAGAAGACAGAAGGAGGAGAAGTAGAATGGGGGAAGGGAAGGAGGGAAACTGCGGCAGAAGGGAGGAAAAGAGCAGCTGAAGACCTGAATAATCACTATCTGAATTGCCAGCCCCTGTTTAGCCTGCAAATGGATTTCTCCAGAAGTCTCTGTGCTTTGCTGGCCTCGAATGTCTCTCAAATGTCGGGTGAAAAAACTCAAACCAGATACCTCCTGATACCTGCTCCTTTTCAAACATTCCTGCTCCCTCCTGCCTAGCAGGACTGGACAGAGCCCTGAACCCTAAGCTCCTCAGAAGGGCAATTCCCTAGCCCACTACATTTTTCGGGTGACCGAATCTACAGCCCCAGAAAAGCAATCTGGAAATGAAATATTGACAACCTCATTCATTTACATAATCAGCCTCTTTTTTTTCCCTACTCACAATTTAAACAACTTATTTATTTAGAGATCAAGCAACGACAGCTAATGAATTTTACACAAAGCATGCTAATAACGGGGCCCGTGGAACAGAAGGGTAATCACAGCAGGAATTAGTTTTCTACTTAAACATTCTTCCTTTGCACCATATCAATCTAATGTGTCCGATATTGCCATTAACAACCAGATACATTGCTCAATTAAATTACAAAATGAGCTGCAAAGCCCTCGTTACATTTCGTGTTTAATTTGCACTGGTTTCTGCCTATCCGGGGAGGCCTGCATTATTACACCCACTCAACTTTAATATGCTTGTGATGATTTGGGTGGGTTAATGCAGCTGTCACCTACGAAATTAATGGAGGCAATTTTACAAAATATTAAACACCAGGCAGCCCGTTTAGGTGAGAAGCCCAAATGCTGCCTGGCCTCCTATTGAACTCTCCTGTGGTTGACTGACAAAGCTTGCTGGAGGGCCCCTTGGCTTTAGAGGTTTCTCTCTGCCCAAGATCATGGACCAGGCTCCAACAAGCAGAGAGATTTTGGATTATTTCTCTATTTGGCACATCTTTACAGGGAAAATCGAGAGCACCAATGAACTAAGGTCTACTCGTGTGGAGTCTAGCCGGCTAGAGTGCTGGGCCTGCTCATTTCCAACAACAAGCGAGCGGTTTGCACTCTCATGAGAAAGTGGACTGACAAAGGAGTCCTGTGCTGGCTTGAGGGTCTTCCTGGTTCCAGTCCATACTAGCTCATCCTGAGCATTTCCTTATTTGGGGAGATGATGAGGATGGGAACTGGACTCAATGTTTCAACCCCCCCCTCCCACGGGTCAGGGAGGGACGGATCCCCAGATACCACACCCCACGTTCTACGCTGGGGAAGCTCACGTTGATGAACACTGGCTCACAGAGAGATCAGATCTGGCTTAAAAGACTTCCAGCCGGAGGTAAATCAGCCCAAGGCTAATGGACAGTCTCTTTTCTGGACATCACTAAGGATTTGGGGCTGATTCTAGCGAGAGCTGGAGAAGCCCCGATTATGTCTGTTAGAAACAGAGGGATTCATTGGTTAACTCAGCCTCCCTCCTGGCTTCCTGATGTCACCCAGGCAGGGAATGATGAAAAATGTTTCCTCATTTTGTCTGAGAAGAGCATAAAATCCAGGAGCCAGAAATGAAACATGGATCCCCACAGAACCAGGCATGGGGTGTGGGGGCCACCTCTGTACAGCCCTTCTCTGCTTGAAGAGACCGATGTGGTCAAGAGTGAGAGGGAGGAGACTTGGCCCAGGTTCTGTGGGTTTCAAATATCTTTTTCCAGCTTCCAATCTACTCACCTTCACACATGCTGGTTTCTCCCTTTTCCTCTGCACCTGCCCTGTCATCACGGCCTCCTTCTTCCAGCTGTGGCACATATGCACATATGGCAATTTGCCAGTTCTGTGTTTTTTGATTATCCACTCTGCAAGGCTGGTTTCATTCCGGGACACTGGCACCCTCCTTCAATCTGCTCTTAAGCCGAAGGCCTTCAGAGGATGCAAACTGATGCCAGTATCCTTTTGGTGGAACCCAAATTAGGACTAAAAATCCCCTTCCAGAAGAAATCGTGCAAAATGTGTGAAATGGTTTTGCACTCTCAGCTTCCTTGGATTATCTGTGCCATTGCCTCCCTCCATGAGTGCAGAGAGTAGAGAGTGGGGGCAGGTGCTCACGTCCTTCCCCCAGGTGAGCCCATGCAAATTCAGGGCTTGGGCCACTAGGCCAGAGAAGAGGGTGTCTCTGCAGGCTGAGGGTGAGGAGGGATCAGGTGCCAATTCTCTCTGGCAGGAGAGCTCAGAGTGCTTTCTGAGAAAGGAACTGGAAGGCTGGCAGAGACAGAGCTATGAGCTGTTCTCTGCAAGGCTCCTGTGAAAATGAGTAAAATGGACAGCAAAGACAACAGTTAACACTATCCTTACCTGTCCCCCATGTATCCAGCTGTACAGTGGCACTGTCCAGTCACGTGGTCACACTGCCCTCCATGGTGGCAAGGACAGTCCTGGCTGCAGTTCTGGCCAAATGTTCCTGGTGGGCAGGGCTGGGCACACACTGCTCCCTGAAACAGAGGGGGGAAGACATGTATGGTGGTGCTCCAGAGATACCAAACTTTCCTGGGAATGGCACAGCTGCTGTGGCTCCAGGGACCACCCAACTTCCCAGAAGAATTTCAGCCAGCTGGACACCAGGGCTCCAAAGCCCTCCTCTTAGAGATGGGAGACGGGAGACGGAGGCCAACTTGCTCATCCAGTTATTCAGCACAATTTAGAAACTGACTATTGTATACGAGGTGCTGTATTAGACACTAGGGGTGATTTGACTTGATTCCTGTCTTCCTAGTCTACTGCAGAGAGAGCCAAGAAAACAGCTAAGTACAAGGCACTAAGTACTCTCACATGGGTACACAGTAAAGCGCTGAGGAGACACAAGGAAGGAGGCTGAGTAAACATGCTGGTGTGGAGACGTGCACTTTGCTCAGCTTCTTTCCCAAACCCAACTGACATGAGAGTTAAAGGGGTACAGGTATAAACCTACAAGGAAAAGAGGAATAGGAGACAAGGGATGTCACACACTGGAAGATGGAAAAGCAGGTGGAGGAGCGATAACTGCTTTGGTTTCTGCTTCCTGGGCAATGTGAAGTGCCTGCAAAGGGAGTGTCATAAGGCTGGGTGATGAAGTCCTTTGTAACCTCAAAAAGCTCAGGAATCAGAGACACTGGGACCCTCTGAAGGTGAAGGTGCAGGTAGGATCAAAACAGGACTGTTTGAAAGTTTATAAAATAGGGAATTAGAACCCCAATCTCTGCCCCCTCCACCTTGAATAGCCAGGTGAATTGTCCAAGTCTTTCAGAGAGGTTGGCGTCACAGACTGTGGACAAGGGACACAGGCAGAGATGAAGGTGGGGGTGGAACTCTCCTGCTGCTCTCTTCCCTGCTGCGCTCCTAAAGGGTGACTGCCAGACTGAACTCCCTGTGGCAGGAGGTTGGAGGGTTCCTTTCTAGGGACACTGAGGAGTCCAAGAGAAATGACCTAAAGATATTGATAGTTGAGAGTCCCATCAGTCAACACGCCTGACATCGCCCTCCACCCCCAGGTGTCCAATTAGCTTTTCTGAGGCTCACTGTAAAACGTGAACAGATGGCCAAGGATCACCAGATATTTGAAACAGGCCCTCACATGAAAGAGAAACACTGAAATAAACAAATAGACAACAGGAACACAGAGGAAATAGGAACCATGCGTGGAACAAGGAAAATCTAAAAAAAAGAGAAGGAAAAAAGCCTCTATCATAATTAAAATGAACATGCTCAGGTAGCTATAAGAAAATATTGCACCTGTGAAAGAATAGAGTGCTATAAAAGAGGATATCCAGAGAGTAGGAAAGAAGTCTTGAAAATTAAAAATAAGATGGCAGAAATTAAAATGTTGCAATAGAAGAGCCAAAAGAAAGTTGAGGAAATCTATAAAGTACAACAGAGAGAGAAAGAGACAAAGATACAAAGATGAGATTAAAATAGAGAAAATTTTTTTTTTTGCCTTTTTTTTTTAAATTTATTTATTATTATTATACTTTAAGTTGTAGGGTACATGTGCATAACGTGCAGGTTTGTTACATATGTATACTTGTGCCATGTTGGTGTGCTGCACCCATCAACTCGTCGTTTACATCAGGTATAACTCCCAATGCAATCCCTCCCCCCTCCCCCCTCCCCATGATAGGCCCTGGTGTGTGATGTTCCCCTTCCTGAGTCTACGTGATCTCATTGTTCAGTTCCCACCTATGAGTGAGAACATGCGGTGTTTGGTTTTCTGTTCTTGTGATAGTTTGCTAAGAATGATGGTTTCCAGCTGCATCCATGTCCCTACAAAGGACACAAACTCATCCTTTTTTATGGCTGCATAGTATTCCATGGTGTATATGTGCCACATTTTCTTAATCCAATCTGTCACTGATGGGAGAAAATATAATGAAATTAGAGGACCAGTTCAGGTGGTCTGACATCTAATTAACAGGAGTTCCAGACAGTAGAACAGAGAAAATAGAGGTAAGTAAATTAATGGAAAATATAATGAAAGATAATTTCCCAGAATGGAAGGATGAAGAACCTGGGTTTCTGAACTGAAAAGGCCTACAAAGTCTCCAGCAAAAATATGAAACAAGACCCACATCAAGTCATGTTGTCATAAACTTTTATATCCCTGTGGATAAAGAAATGATGTTCACAGTTTTTAGAAAGAGGAAAACAGGCTAGGTGTGGTGGCTCATGCCTATAATTCTAGCACTTTGGGAGGCTGAGGTGGGAGGATCTCTTGAGCCCAGGAGTTGGAGACCAGCCTAGGCAACAAAGCAAGATCTCATCTCTACAGAAACAAAAATGAAAATACAAAGAGGAAAACAAACATACAAAAATCAGGAATCAAAATGTTTTAGACTTCTCAACTAGAAGCCAGAAGACAATGGAGCAATGCCTTAAAAATCCAGAGGAAAAAAATCATTTCCAACTTAGAATTCTACACCCAACTAAACTAACATTAAAGTAGGGGACTCAATAAAGACATTTTCAGATTTGAATAGCCTCAAAAAGTTAACCTTTCATAAACACTTTCTCAGAAAGTTACTGGAGGATTTGTTTTCCATAAAAAAATAATTACCCAAGAAAGCGGGGCACGGTGGCTCACACCTATAATCCCAGCACTTTTGGAGGCTGAGATGGGCGGATCACCTGAGGTTTGAGACCAGCCTGACCAACGCGGACAAACCCCATCTCTACTAAAAATACAAAATTAGCCGGGTGTGGTGGTGCATCCCTGTAATCCCAGCTACTGGGGAGGCTGAGGCAGGAGAATCGCTTGAACCCAGGAGGTGGAGGTTGCAGTGAGCCGAGATCGCACCACTGCACTCCGGCCTGAGCAACAAGAGCGAAACTGTCTCCAAAAAAAAAAAAAAAAAAAAATTACCCAAGAAAAAGAAAGGCATGAATTCCAGGAACTAGGGACTCCAATAGAAGACAGAGGTGAAAGGAATCCCAGGACAGCAGTGAAAGGAAGCCTCAGATGACAGCTATGCTGCAGGCCTGGAGAACAGAGTTAAAGAGTTCGGACTGGAACAGAAGATGCAGGCTTCTAAGAAACTTGCCTCAAAAACAAAACAAAAGCAAAACCTGGGGAGACTTCTGATGGGTCTGACCTTATTGAGAGGAGTCTGAGAGCTCTGTCAAGAGAGTTTTAAGGGTAAATTAGTAACAATACACATGTATATTAACATAAATATTAAAAAAATAATTTAACCAAGCTGGACATGGTGGCACCTGTCTGTAGTCCTAGCTACTCAGGAGGCTGAGGCAGGAGGATCACTTGAGCCCAGGAGTTCAAGGCTGCAGTGAGCTATGATCATGCCTGTGAATAGCCACTCTCCTCCAGCCTGGGCAACCCAGCCAAATCCTGTGTCTTAAATTTTTTTTTAATGATTTAACCACAAATTGTAATATAACTCCACTGGGAGGGTGGGAGAGGGGTTGCTTGCATCTGTATGTGTGTGTATGGCAGAGCAGAATCTTATTCTACAGCAGGAAGTCAATGGATTCAATGACTGTCTAAAATGGAAAAGTCAAGAAATGGCTATAAAGCATGTTATATAGAAAAATGGAGGGAAATGCCAGAAGAAATATCTAAAAGATTTGAAAGTAGTTGCCTTTAGGGAGTAGGATTTGTAAATGGAGCAGGGGACTCCCCCGCCCCCCAGCATTAGCCTTGTGGTATTATGTAACTTAAAATTACACGCATGAGTCTTAGGTTTTTAACAGATCTGAGCCTGCTCTTGTCTCCTGCTGCCCTTCCAGCCCTGTGCACACCCGACAGTCATTTCTCTTATGGAGATCAAGGATGTTCCTCCAATTAATTAATCAATTAGTTCAACACACAACTATTCAGCACCAATAATCACCAACCCTTAGAAGCTAGTTTATTCAGGAAAATTGTGCCAGAGCAGAGTCATCTTTCAAGATCATCCAGTTTACTTGTAATGAGTTAAATAGGAGGCCGTTCAGCTCAGACTCTCCTCCACACACAAGTCAGAAGTAGAGGGGCTGAGAGGAGGGACTGAGGTGAGGTGAGGAGGGGAGGGAGGAGTGAGGGGCAGAAGCAGCTGAGGACAGTGAGAGACTGTGTGTGTGTGAGAAAAGGGGAGAGAAAATTCACTGAGGCCAGGTGCGGTGGCTCATGCCTGCAACCCCAGCACTTCGGGATGTCAAGGCAGGTGAATCACCTGAGGACAGGAGTTCCAGACCAGCCTGGCCAGCGTGGTGAAACCCCAGCTCTAGTAAAAAATACAAAAATTAGTCAGGCGTGATGGCAGGTGCCTGTAATCCCAGCTACTTGGGAGGCTGAGGCAGGAGAATCACTTGAACCCAGGAGGCGGAGATTGCAGTGAGCCGATATTGTGCCACTGCACTCCAGCCTGGGCAACGCAGTGAGACTCCATCTCAAAAAAAGAAAGGAAAGAAAAAGACAAAAGTCACTGAGTAGGGGTTCTTCTTCCTCCTGGAGGTGGTGGGGGTACTCCAGGTATCGCAGGGGCCTTTCTCAGTGCACATTAAAAGTTCTAGGTATTCATGAGGGGGGAGAAGGCTTTCTGGCTTCTATCTGACTTGGTCTTCTACAGTCCTGGGCTGGATAAGGACACTCTTGGAAAAACTTTTTTTTTTTCCCCCCGAGACAGAGTTTCACTCTTGTTGTCCGGGCTGGAGTGCAATGGCGTGATCTCGGCTCATGGCAACCTCCACCTCCCGAGTTCAAGCAATTCTCCTGTCTCAGCCTCCTGAGTAGCTGGAATTACAGGTACCCGCTACTACACCCAGCTAATATTTTGGTATTTTTAGTAGAGACTGGGGTTTCACCATGTTGGCCAGGCTGGTATTGAACTCCCGACCTCATGTGCTCCACCTGCCTCGGCCTCCCAAAGTGCTGGGATTACAGGCGTGAGCCACTGCACCCAGCCAAAAAAACTTTTTTTTTTTTTTTTCCCTAAGAGATGGGGTCTCACTCTGTCATCCAGGCTGA